GAAGGCGAGCCCACAGTAGCATGGGGCTTACAGCTTCCCACATCTCACCACCACGCTTCCACACCCCCTTAATTTTTTTTGTTCAGAAGAAGAGCCACTCCCTGTTGTTTGCCAGTCTTCTGCCCTGAGAAGAGGACTATCCACTCATGGTGGCAGGAGCCAGAGCCAGCCCATCGGACCTCCTGAATACCGCAGATATTCAGGCAGTACCGGTCCAGCTCACGATAGAGGAGTGGCGGCCTCTCCTCTGCAGTGAACGTTCTAACATTCCACGTGGCCACCCGCAATAGCTTTTTTATGTTTCTGGAGGAACCCCGATGTGGTTTGGCTAGGAGACGTCATAGATGTCTGTCCCCCCGTGGCCTCCGGCACAAGCTTCATTCTAAAATGTTCACATGGTTGAGTGGTAAATAAGTGAAGGTGGAGGGGTTACCAGCCCCTGGCACCCGTCCAGAGCCCGTGTTTGGCTGCTGTAGTGACTACAAGCGCCATGAAGGGGTATAGCCGATTTTGGAATTGGCCTTCCCTCCATGGCATTGCTCACATCCACAACAGCGTTGCTGTCCGGCACCAGCGAGGAGGTAGGGGGGGTTTGTTTTTGCCGGACATATACAGGCACTCTTTGACATACGCGATAGATGCATTCCTGCAAAAGAGCGCGTACTTCAAAAATGCATATTTCAGACATAATTGCCTATATTATCCTAGCCTTTATCAATACAATACAAGTACACACAATATAATACTTTTAATTTAATATAAAGTCGTGTAGACGCTAACATACTTCATATACAATTAAAATAAAGAAATACCGTGAAACTTACCTGTAACTACGCCAGAGTTGCGTTGTGGAGAGGATGGAGATGGGGAGGGAGACGAACTTGAAGTTGGTAGATGCTGTACAGTATAGCACACTAGTTATCATACCGCATTGGCTGCTGGCAACGCCATTGGGTCGCAGTGCCAGGCAAGGGTGGCATATGTCGCGTTGCGGATGACGTTATTCCGAAAATTGCCTCGCGCATGTCAATAAAAAAGGTCTAAATGCAAAACGCGCATAATTCCAAAATGGCGTACCACAAAAGCCTGTATCAATAATATACACTTACTTTTCACGCTGATGGTTGTGCAGTATACAGTGATGGTTGTGCAGTATACAGTGAGGGAAAAAAAGTATTTGATCCCCTGCTGATTTTGTACGTTTGCCCACTGACGAAGAAATGATCAGTCTATAATTTTAATGGTAGGTTTATTTGGACAGTGAGAGACAGAATAACAACAAAATCCAGAAAAACGCATGTCAAAAATGTTATAAATTGATTTGCATTTTAATGAGGGAAATAAGTATTTGACCCCCTCTCAATCAGAAAGATTTCTGGCTCCCAGGTGCCTTTTATACAGGTAACGAGCTGAGATTAGGAGCACACTCTTAAAATGAGTGCTCCTAATCTCAGCTTGTTACCTGTATAAAAGACACCTGTCCACAGAAGCAATCAATCGGATTCCAAACTCTCCACCATGGCCAAGACCAAAGAGCTATCCAAGGATGTCAAGGACAAGATTGTAGACCTACACAATGCTGGAATGGGCTACAAGACCATTGTCAAGCAGCTTTGTGAGAAGGTGACAACAGTTGGTGCGATTATTCGCAAATGGAAGAAACACAAAATAACTGTCAATCTCCCTCGGCCTGTGGCTTCATGCAAGATCTCACTTCGTGGACTTGCAATGATCATGATAACGGTGAGGAATCAGCCCAGAACTACACGGGAGGATCTTGTCAATAATCTCAAGGCAGCTGGGACCATAGTCACCAAGAAAACAATTGGTAACACACTACGCCGTGAAGGACTGAAATCCTGCAGCGCCCGCAAGGTCCCCCTGCTCAAGAAACCACATATACATGCCCGTCTGAAGTTTGCCGTGTTTGGAGGAGGAGGAATGCTGCCTATGACCCCAAGAACACCATCCCCACCGTCAAACATGGAAGTGGAAACATTATGCTTTGGGGTTGTTTTTCTGCTAAGGGGACAGGACAACTTCACCGCATCAAAGGGACGATGGACGGGGCCAGGTACCGTCAAATCTTGGGTGAGAACCTCCTTCCCTCGGCCAGGGCATTGAAAATGGGTCGTGGATGGGTATTCCAACATGACAATGACCCAAAACACAGCCAAGGCAACAAAGGAGTTGCTCAAGAAGAAGCACATTAAGGTCCTGGAGTGGCCTAGCCTGTCTCCAGACCTTAATCCCATAGAAAATCTGTGGAGGGAGCTGAAGGTTCGAGTTGCCAAACGTCAGCCTCGAAACTTTAATGACTTGGAGAAGATCTGCAAAGAGGAGTGGGATAAAATTCTTCCTGAGTTGTGTGCAAACCTGGTGGCCAATTACAAGAAACGTCTGACCTCTGTGATTGCCAACAAGGGTTTTGCCACCAAGTACTAAGTCACGTTTTGCAGAGGGGTCAAATACTTATTTCCCTCATTAAAATGCAAATCAATTTATAACATTTTTGACATGCGTTTTTCTGGATTTTTTTGTTGTTATTCTGTCTCTCACTGTTCAAATAAACCTACCATTAAAATTATAGACTGGTCATTTCTTTGTCAGTGGGCAAACGTAAAAAAATCAGCAGGGGATCAAATACTTTTTTTCCCTCACTATAGATGCTAGGGCTGAACGATTAATCGATTTAAAATCGAAATCGCAATTTGAAACAATGCGATTAGCAAATCGCAAAGGCTGCGATTTTTGCGATTTGAAAAGTCCTATTACTTTCTTATCGGAATTGTTTTATTATTTATTATGATAGTTTTATTTATTTAATTAACAATTGTTTTATGTTTTATTGTTCTATTTCAATTAAAACATTTTAATAAATGCATGTTGGAAGAAATTCATATATTTTAAGTTATCCTTCCATTAGAATATATAGAGCAGTTCATATGTTGATGGTATCACGTGGTAATGCTCCTTCACGTGTTTTAAATCTATTACACAGTGAATATTGACTTAAAAAATACAATCGGAAATCAAATCGCAATATCTGTCAGAAAAATCGCAATTAGCTATAAATCGTTCAGCTCTAATAGATGCGCAATGGGTTACTAAGCATCCTCTGGTTAGGTAATGTACCACATTACGATCAACCATCCCATCTATTTGCTTTTATCCTATTTTGAATTTATAAAGCGCATTTTACCAAGGCGCTTGACAATGCTTAAGGGATGGGGTAGTGACTAGGGTGGAGGGAGCAAGGTGGAGGCTGCGGCTGTGGCGGCGTTAGGGGTGCTAGATGGTAATTTTAATTTACAGTTTTTTTCTCGCACATGCAGTGAGGGGAAAAAAGTTATTGATCCCCTGCTGATTTTGTACGTTTGCCCACTGACAAAGAAATGATCAGTCTATAATTTTAATGGTAGGTTTATTTGAACAGTGAGAGACAGAATAACAACAAAAAAAATCCAGAAAAACGCATGTCAAAAATGTTATAAATTGATTTGCATTTTAATGAGGGAAATAAGTATTTGACCCCTCTGCAAAACATGACTTAATACTTGGTGGCAAAACCCTTGTTGGCAATCACAGAGGTCAGACGTTTCATGTAGTTGGCCACCAGGTTTGCACACATCTCAGGAAGGATTTTGTCCCACTCCTCTTTGCAGATCTTCTCCAAGTCATTAAAGTTTCGAGGCTGACGTTTGGCAACTCGAACCTTCAGCTCCCTCCACAGATTTTCTATGGGATTAAGGTCTGGAGACTGGCTAGGCCACTCCAGGACCTTAATGTGCTTCTTCTTAAGCCACTCCTTTGTTGCCTTGGCCGTGTGTTTTGGGTCATTGTCATGTTGGAATACCCATCCACGACCCATTTTCAATGCCCTGGCTGAGGGAAGGAGGTTTTCACCCAAGATTTGACGGTACATGGCTCCGTCCATCATCCCTTTGATGCGGTGAAGTTGTCCTGTCCCCTTAGCGGAAAAACACCCTCAAAGCACAATGTTTCCACCTCCATGTTTGACGGTGGGGATGGTGTTCTTGGGGTCATAGGCAGCATTCCTCCTCCACCAAACACGGCGAGTTGAGTTTATGCCAAAGAGCTCCATTTTGGTCTCATCTGACCACAACACCTTCACCCAGTTGTCCTCTGAATCATTCAGATATTCATTGGCAAACTTCAGACGGGCATGCATGTGCTTTTTTGAGCAGGGGGACCTTGCGGGCGCTGCAGGATTTTAGTCCTTCACGGCGTAGGGAGCTGAAGGTTCGAGTTGCCAAACGTCAGCCTCGAAACTTTATTGACTTGGAGAAGATCTGCAAAACGAGTGGGACAAAATCCCTCCTGAGATGTGTGCAAACCTGGTGACCAACTACAAGAAACGTCTGACTTCTGTGATTGCCAATAAGGGTTTTGCCACAAAGTACTAAGTCATGTTTTACAGAGGGGTCTAATACTTATTTCCCTCATTACAATGCAAATCAATTCATAACATTTTTGACATGCGTTTTTCTGGATGTTTTTGTTATTCTGTCTCTCACTGTTCAAATAAACATACCATTAAAATTATAGACTGATCATTTCTTTGTCAGTGGGCAAACGTACAAAATCAGCAGGGGATCAAATACTTTTTCCCTCACTGTATATACCGCTACTGATGTGGGCCATGCCTGGGAATTCAACTCAGCTCACTTGTTTCATGGCACTCGTACAGGCTATGTTTGGCTATTTATAGACGACTGTATATCATTCGGTGTGTTCCCTAATTACGGGTTTATATAATATGTATATTTTATATTAAATGTGTACAAGTGCATTCATGTGCTTATATTTATAGAATACATTATACGCGGCAGTGTGCTTTACATATCTCAAAGAGGTCACACTTCAGCGTGGCACGGTCGGGAGGAGTGTGGGCGGGAGCCCGGAGTTTCTGTGAGACTTGGGGACCCCTGGGTGCTGCTGATACCAGCCCACCACCACCCCCGACTCCCCTCCCACAGGAGCGTCTGCTTATGAGTCTCCTGCCGAGGCACGTGGCCATGGAGATGAAAGAGGATTTCCTAAAGCCCCCAGAACGAATCTTTCACAAAATATACATCCAGCGGCATGACAATGTAAGGTGAGAAATAATTATAATACCCATACGACTACTAAGACTAAATACCTGCACAGTATATGTATACAAGTGCAGTAATACTGTAGTATGTTCAAAGGCAATGCAATACAGAAGTAAAATTCAATTAACCTGTTTTCATTACAGAAACATCACTATTTGATGGATGTCATTTTGAATTTAAAGATGTGTGGCGCCACCATGTGTTTTGTCACAAGACTACAATTTGTTAAGTTTCAAATGAACAATTTACAGTAAATCTTAGGGTTGAACTGTTATGAAGAATGTATTGTTAATTAATCAGTCTGTGACAATGCACAGGTTATCATTGCCTCTTACATTTGCTCTCTGAACACATGTGTAAGTGAATATTACCCGACAAAAATACAACTTAAAACGCAAGGAAACAAGAATAACACCGGCCAGAGCTTTTTATTACTCCAAAAAACCTCAACACATTCGTCAATAACACTGACTTAAAAAAATACATACGTCTAACAGGCAATGTTTTGGGCAGTGGCCCTCTTTCATAGCACATATTGAAAGGTAAAGTCTGATAAGGGTTGGAGACGGCACTTCTTTTTTTACACTAGCGTTTGCACTGCCAAAATATATATACCACACACACGACATGCGATGCGTGCAATACACACTTCATACAGTTACATGTCCTCTTCTTTGTGTTGGAGAATGCCATCAAGCTTTTGTCGCCATCACAAATCCGCACCACTGTACACACACGGGATTGAGGAGAGAAGCACGGGTTATTGTTATCTTGAGGCCCCACAAAAATAAATAATTTGGGAGATGAAGTGTGGCGTTCCCTTGTGCTCGCCTGCAGAAGGTGTGCAAAATGTTATATCCAAAAATGCGTCGCTATTTCTGGCCTCGGGAGGGTCCCAAGTGACCTAAGTCACAGAACACATCTGACTCTGTCAATGTTTCTGTTCCCCCGTTGCGGCAGAGCTCGCTAGTTCCTTTCCCTCCGTTTGTGCCTTTCCCGATCCATTCGTGCCCAACACTTAATTTCCTTCCAATAACTGGTCCCGTCTCCAAAAAAGAAAAAAAAAACGCTTCTACTCTCTGGATATCAAGGCTATGGCTTGGGATAAAAAGTTCCTGAAATAAGCCTCGTGGCTTTATACTTGCGCGTGCATCTTTAGTTTATCATATACATGTATTGTCATTGGTACATACGTACATAGTGTTCATTTCACACACTCATTTAATGTTTTTGCACGTTAAAACGTGTATATTATTCAATATTTTTTATTTACCTGTGTGTGAAAGTGTGGCTTTAATGGTGTGCAGTTTTTTGTTATTCAAATGTTCATGAACATGTTGCACATGTATGAGAATTAGGTTATATCTTACCAGAATCTAAAAGCCCAGGTTTTGAAACACAGGTCCAAATTGATCCAGCACATTCAGTACTATCATACCAGGACTTGTTATTTATTACATGGATGTCAAAGTTGAATGCAAAAACTTGAAATTCCAGCCATTCTCAATCCACCCATGGATGAAGGCCTCCCGACAACATTTCGGTCATGGGGGTTTTACGACCATACTTCTCTATGCAGTGTGGCTTTTTGAAGGCGGGGGAGGGCAGGGCCACTTCAGATATTTCTTGACACTGCTGTTAGCCATGGCCAGGAGTCAAACCTATGTCGCTGCGTTCAAACCACAGCATAGTAACCGCTATGCCACCACTGCACCCAGGAATTTATAGATTATATTATTTATAGATGTACATTTATTGAAAATTGTGTGGTGTTCACGGTGCTTGAAACAGTTGATGATTTTGTGTCAGATCTGTTTCGTAACAATATTAATTAACTCTTAGTTTGTTCTGAAATTAATTCAATTATGTTTCTGAAATTTTATTAGATTGCTATTGCAGCATGCATATTGCATAGCAAATGCATACTAACAAGACTATTACGGCCTGCCGGTACTTTATTGTGTTTCAGCATCCTTTTTGCAGATATCGTTGGGTTTACAAGTCTGGCATCGCAGTGTACGGCGCAGGAGCTCGTTAAACTGCTTAATGAGCTTTTTGGAAAGTTTGATGAACTGGCTACGGTATGCATACAACACACCAAGGAGATTGAAAGCAATGAATTAATTATTTAAATTGTTTCCAACAGCTGTTTGTGGGATTTGTTTTTTTTTTTTGGGAATGGCAAATTATGTGTTAACAGTCAACTTGATAGCAGGCTGCTTAGATGATTATTATTTCAATAATGCTGTGCTGAAACATGATTGGAATTTAAATCATTAGTGAATTACGAGTGAGCAATTGTATTCAAATTCCATTTCCGTTTCATCCTAGCTTCTACCAATTATACAATTATTTTTTTAAAGTATACAGTGTTCTATTTCATATTTAGTTTTATCTTGAGCTTTTGTGGAAATCCATCTTTTGGAGGTAAAGAGGACCTTTCAGAAAACAAATGTGCATCTGCATAACTTATCAAATAAATATTGCGTGGAATCTGATTAGTGCATACAAGTCATCAACCCATGTCTGTTGTGTACAATATTTCAGTTGCAAACAATGTAAGATAGACAGCGAACGTGCAAAAATGAAAAATAATGAGTCATCGTGAATTATAAAATTTACTTTACACGGTTAAAATAGTGCCAATACTGTAATATATTTTTTAACAAGACCGTGTCAAGAAGGTTGTGCAAAGATGCAAGCATGTGGGAGGTAATAATGTTTTGCGAGCAAGAAAACTATTCAGTGCCGACCGTTTCTATTTCAGGAGAATCACTGCAGGAGGATTAAAATTCTGGGCGACTGTTATTACTGCGTCTCAGGCCTAACGCAGCCTAAGGCGGACCACGCTCACTGCTGTGTGGAGATGGGTTTGGACATGATTGACACCATCACGTACGTGAACAAGCAGCTCATCGAGATCATCTCATCAAAGCCAGCCATTTGAATAATAAGAAATGAAATCTGTTTGATGTCTTAAAACTTGCTTTGTATACAGTCATACACCTATGTTATCAGGCTCTTTCAAATATTGTGGAACAGAGTGTACAATAATTAATCAACGGCGCTGGGTTTGGAACTGTAAAGCCATTGAAATTAAGTTTTTAATATTCATGATAATCAATGTGCATGCCTGTGTACGTATTTTAAAACGTTCAGCAGCAATGAAAATACACGTGGCATAAATTAAACATGACTGAATTTTCTTCTTAGAAAAATAACACGACGCATTTTACAAGCAATAAATTAAATGTATTTATAGTGAAATCGATTAATGTTGGTGAACCTTGACTGTGCACTCATGTTTTTATTTTTGTTTATGAAGGCAACAAATGGTGTTTTTATTACAAACTATCAGCCCGCACATCCTTAGGATGTGTCCGTCCGTCCCTCCCTCTAGCCAGTGAGGCAGCAAATTTTAAAAAAATATAATATTGTTAAAGTACCGGTCATTGAACGATGGTCCTCCGATTGTCCTCACCTCCCCACCCCTGGGTGCCTCCCCCTCTCGTGCGTGACAACCCCTGGGACACCCCCTACCACCTGCATATACCCCAAATCGCGCCCCACCTGCGCTCCCCTCCTCGCATACCCCTTCCCGTGCCCCCCCCCGCCCCACACCACGCCGTCTAACGCGTGCCCGTCACCTGCATGTTGGCCACATAAACGACTCTTCCCCTTTGTGTGCTGGGCGGTGCATGGTCTCCAGCCAGTCAGAACGCACTCTAGGTGGTCCGTCGCCAGCAAAAGTTTTTCTTATAGAGTATAATAGCACTGCCCGCGCATTTCCGCGGGATACACGGCCAGGGTAGAGGGTGAGTGGGAAGCGTGATGTCAGCAAGCATGATCGCGGTTTAGCATTGTGGGATCCGGGTGACCTCATCACTTAGGCATGTGTCGTGACGCCACCACAGCACCCTTCCTCGTGCTCTAGCCAGCCAGCAAACAATTTGTTTTTCCTCATATAGTATGACAACTGCTAATGTGGTAGGAGAAAAAATTGGATGAAAAACTTTAATTGTTTCTTTTTTTACTGATAAACATTTCATCCATTTCTAGAAACAAATAAATGAATTATGAGTGTGTATCCCATCTAGGTCAGTGGCGGAGGCAACTGAGGTTGACCTGAACATGCGAGTGGGGCTGCACACTGGCCGTGTGCTATGTGGAGTGCTGGGCCTGCGCAAGTGGCAATATGATGTATGGTCCAATGATGTGACGCTTGCCAATGTAATGGAAGCTGGTGGTCTGCCTGGGTGAGCTCATCGCAACATGCAGGCACATCACAATTGAGCAGAATTGTGTGTTCACTCACATTCACTGCATTTCTATGGAGTACTTGCCAGCTGATCACATGCAGTCATCTTAGCTTTGGAACGTTTTGTGTATGCCTTGAATTGGTAGAGGGACACTCATGAAATAGAGCCTAGCAGCTCATTGGGCTCTTCCTGCTGAAATAAAAAAAAATCATAATAAAAGTGGATTTGACCAATACATTCTGTACATCATCGTCTAGACATTAACTAAACTGATCATATGTGATTGCTGGCATCTGACATTGGCTTTGCTAATGAGATTAGCATTTGTTTAGTTATATAGAGTATCTCAATGATATGAAATGTGGATATGTACCATATATCAAGGATATATTTTTGAAAAATAAAGACCTCAATATTGAATATTAATGAAAGTGAGCGTGCTTCAGAAGCACATACGGCCAGAAAAGGTGATAGCCGATGGACATAACATGTGATGGTAGCTAACAATACAATTGTCCGGAGGTATGAGCACAATAGAGGTGTAGTGATGAGATCAGTTCATGTGCAGGAATGAGACAATGAGTAGCATCGCCTGACCATAAATAAATGATAAGGGCACAGGGAATATTTCATTGAGCAGTGAATAGGAAGTGGCTGATGCTGGTGAATAAATAAAGTTAAGAGTTTCCAATATAAATTACGGTGTTTTGAATTTGTTTTACAATTTCCAAAACAATGGTTTATGCTAAGCACAGTACAGTCTATATTGTCCGTGTCATATTAAGTAAAACAACGCATTTTAATAAGCTTGTGATATTCCGATGGAGTTATTATTTTTTTTACAGTCAAGTTGGGTGACAGGATGGCACAGTGGTAACACTTGTGCCTCACAGTAAGACTGGCCTGGGTTTGATTTCCGACTCTCTTTTGCATGGCATTTGTATGCTCTCCAGTTTCGTTCCATAGCTGAAAAACAATGGAACTGGTATGGGCCAAACACCTCAATGCTTACAAATTGGGATTACCATACAGACATCAACATTGCCTCCTCCTGCGAAAACTTGGCAAGAGCCTGTTAAAAAAAAATTTGGGATAAGAAAACGTATTAATAAGAATAATAAAGAATAATACAATTTTAAACAACAATTATTTACAATCGCATACTATATTTTATTTCTTACCATTATTTGTGCGAATTGATTCAACTATTGGAGGTGGGTGAGCAGTAGAGCAAACGGCTTGCATCACACCTCTAGGGTCGATAAAATAAGTATTACTCTTTGGGGAAAACAACAGTGGCTGTCCTTTGGAGAGATTCACTGTTACAATATGAATTGGAATCTCCATCACCAGCTCAGGGCTGTAATTTAGAGGTGAGCACCACCTTAAATTGAGCAGGAAATAGTTTTGCTGTGACTTTGACCATTGAAGTGCTATGGAAAATAACTCAACTGACTTTCATGAAGCTATATCATATAGTGAAATCATCTGTGAGGGTGGCCAATCGGACAAGAAGGACTGGAGTGTAAATGTGCCAATGGTAGTCAAGCAGCAATGACATAGGTTTATGTTGCATAGACACGTGGTAAATGATGGTGCGTCTCAAATTGTTTAGGATATAGCCAGAAGACCCTTATGAGGAACAAAGCAATAATGTCACTCTCCGTGCCAAGTCTCTTCTTGATACTGTGTTACAAACAACACATAAGGAAAAGCTGTCAAAATATGTATGCATCTTTATAAGATGAAAAAATAATCCAGATATGTAGAGGTGGTGTCAATGTATTGTATAAATACATTTTTTCCATTTTAGCAAGACAGATCTGCTCAACTTCTTCAACACGTGGAATGACCTTCAACATAACACGAACACAAGTTGCTATTTTTTTGTTATTATTGGTACTATTGTCCTATATGTTACAGAAAAGTGCACATCACAAAATCCACCTTGGACTGTCTGAATGGGGATTATGAAGTAGAGCCTGGAAACGGAAAGGACAGAAACAGCTACTTGAGAAAGCACAACATTGAAACGTACTTCATCGTTCCGTCGCACCGCAGGAAGGTAAATTATACCGCCGCAAATTTTTAGAACTTGTAAAATTCTACCAAACACCCAGTGCATTCATTTACTTTAATCAAATGACATTGATATGCACTTCGTTGCATTAACTAAAGGCTCACATTGGTGTCACTTGTGTATGCAGGCCAAATATTTTAGCAGGGACACAAAATTCCTTCTATGGTAATGCATGAAGAAATGTTATTTTCCAGCTATGCAAGAATTATTCGAATGGCAGCTACCGTCCCTGCTCCCCTCTACGTAATTGTCGCTTTGTCAATATTTACCATTTAATCGATTACAAAAGTCCATTGTGGGCCCTGATTTGTTTGTGCCAAATGAATAAAATATACTTTAAAGATTATAATTAATGAACTATTTGTTCATCAATTGTTGCAACATAAACGTTCACGTGCATGTACACGTGAACATTTTCAGTGTTTTTACACGTGAATATTTTCAGTATTTTCACTTTCAGCCACAACAAACACTGAGTGTGACAAATGTAAATGTAAACATTGATATAATTATTTTTTGTGTATTTCGTTTTATTGATACGTAAATATTGCCTTTTCAGATCTTTCCAGGCCTGATATTGGCTGACATTAAACCAGCTAAGAGGATGAGGTTTAAGACCGTGTGTTACCTCCTGGTACAGCTGATGCACTGCCGTAAGATGTTCAAGGCTGAAATCCCCTTCTCAAACGTCATGACCTGCGTGGATGACGATAAGGTGAGGCCCCTGTCTTTTTATAAGCCATGTTTTTCAAGAGAATGATTTTGAAGGAACTGGCAGTTGCTTTTGTGCACTGCCCACATTACTCTGTGTCAGTGTTAATTTTGTTAATGAACTGAGGTACGAATTAGTCTTTTTTTTCATTTTAGTCAACAATGGTTGAGTCGGCAAAACTCATAAAGCATGACGAAAACTATGACTACCCACCAAAGACTATGACGAGTTAACCATCGAATATGCAATCTAAGAAAACTTAGTGAGGCTTTTAGAGACAGCAGTGCAGTGAGAAAGACCAAAATTGGTAATTGGCTATAATATATATAAAATATTTACACACAACATTTATTAAAAAGGGAGGACCACGTTATTGACTGCTCTAGACTATTCGTCTAAGAGAATGACTAAATGAAATCCACAGACGCAGATGACTTAGATGCTGCAGGTTGTCGTCGACTGCGCAAAGCCTGTGACTAAATGAACGCTGCTCTCTGGTACACCGTGTGCTGCTTGCCAGGGCCGGGCTATGCGCACGGCCTCCGAGAAACTGCGCCACCGCTCCTCCTTCTCGTCGACGCTGCTCCACAGCAGCCCAAGCTCCCGCGTCAACCGCTACATCACGCGGCTTATCGAGGCTCGCAGCACAGAGTCCGACATGGCCGACATGCACTTCTTTTCCCTCTGTTACAAGCAGTCAGAACGCGAGCACAAGGTATCGCCTGTTGGGCAGAACAGAATATCCTCCTTGTCTTTTTTTGTTTAAATTTGTGAGTATTAATGTACAGTCGTGAAAAGGTGAAGGTGCAAAGCTGTAATATATTGCTCTCGCCACTGATGGCGGAATGGCTTTCACTCGAGGGAGCTCTAGAGAATGGTACTTTGGCCTCCTCTTCCACACTGTCCACATTTTGTTTTAAGTGGTGGGAGTACCCACACTTTGCTCCACCACATATGACCTGCCGAATCGAGCTAACGGTTTTGTACATAATAGAACCAGTGACCACTGGATTGCAAGTACAGTGTGTTCGCCGTTACATTATGGCAGCATTCATGACCTAAGTCCACTTGGCTTAAACATTATTTTATACCTTCTTCTTTTCGAAAGTGAGCTTTCCATAAGAGCATGTATTATGTTGTTTTTGTATATATAGTCATTATATTTATGACAGCCTAAAAGCACAATATTGAGCAATAGTGATGATATTTTTTATATTTTATAGGGGTTATTGTAATGTTGGAATGTATTCAAAATGTCAATGTGGCTAACACACGCTGAAGCCAATGAGTTGAATGTAACTTTACCTTCTTCAAAGAATGATTGGATGAGAAAAAAAAACATGTTCCTCTTTATATCCTTTCTTTTGACAAGTTGGCACAATAATTATTATGATTAAATAAATAGGAATATATTTATTATTTGGAAGACATGTTTCTTTTAATCAATGTACAAATGTACATAATGAGTAACTGATGCACAAATATAAACAAATGCTCAGACAAATGAACCTTATGGCGGTACCCCGGGGTACCATAGTACCCCGGCTCTCGCATAATGTCCGTGATGCAGTCATTTTTATTCTGTTGATGGTCGATGATGCAGCAATCGACTCATCTCGACGAGCTGTACACGATGCACTGTGGTGCATACGAGCGTTCAGGGTTTCAGCGCAATCATCCTCGCTGCGTTTTGACATCGCGGAGTAGCACTGATTTCGGATTGATTGATATTTAATTGCCTTGGCCATTTTGTATTATTTGGTACCCCAGGATCCGCCATAAGGATCAAATGTCCGTGTACACGGTATCATTCTCAAATACTTGTTTTTGTTCGGCAATGCATGCACTGTCAAATAAGTTTGTGAGGAGTCATACTTTGTGTCGGATTAGTTGTCGCTAATGACCGTTGCTCACGTCTGCCATGCTAATGTGTTTCAGTACCACCAGCTGGAGGATGAGTACTTCATGAGTGCTGTCACACTTTGTCTGATTCTGGCTGCTATCCTGGGCCTTATTTACCTGCTGCTCCTTCCAACGTGCGTACAAGTCTACGAATAACACCACACCACTGCATCCATCATCATCCTCCTGAGTGTTTTCGTGCCCGGGTTTGTGCCAGAAGGATCATTCGCATCCAGCTCATTAGCGTACATTCCACTACGAGAGCATCTACTCAAAATTTAATTTCAGATAGTAAGAACTGACTATTCATAACTTAGTTGTTGCATTACAGTCACTAAATATAATTAAATCATGTTCCCGTGGTGTATTATCATGGAGATTATATATTTACATAAGCGTATATGATTACATTCATTGTGCTTAAGTTGTTTAAAAAAAAGCACTTCTGTCTTGTTATTATAGGATTATAATGACTTACATCTGTGAACATTTGCTATGTATATCAATGTCTTTTTCATTTCACTTGCTCTGTAGTTTGTTGATAGTGCTGTGATGTTTTCTCTTTGCAGGAACACTGTGGTGGTGGTGCTGCTCGTAGCGTCAATCTGTTTCCTTGTGATTTGCCTTATGTATTTGCATATTGCACATGTACAGGTAAGTGCCTCGATATAATACACTTTGTATTAGAGCGTCTATTTACCACCCTGTAATATAACACCTCAATTCCACTGACACATCCGAGCCGTGCCAGGGCTGCTCCAGGCCAGGCCATCACGTGGATCAGAAGGCACTGGTTATTTTTTCACTGCTGAAGTCGAGCTTTGCAGACAACGTCATGCAATGTAAGACGTCGAGACGAATGTAGATGACAGAGTGACGCCGTGTCCTCATAATATATATCAGACTGACGTCAGACACATTGAACACATGTCATTAACGTTTCAGAACTCTCAAGTGCAAATAGGAGAAAGTTCGAGCTTTACGCAAGTTCAAAGGGGATTTCATTTCGGCAGGGATATCATTGAAAGGACCTCGAAGGCAGATGCACAGAGCGACACAAAACTTGTGAGCATCTGTGCAACAGTCGGGAGAACGTGAGATTTTGGGACAAATGCATATTTCATATTCCGAATACATGTTATTTATACACCTGCGCAATATCTATGTATGTATGTTAAACTTTTTTCACACCATACGTAGCCAACCGTGTTAATCAGAGGTGCGATAGTTAGTCTATAACTATAAGTTACAGATTTTTCTCCCTCTTTGCTCTGAAGCTGGGCAATTACAATAAATATCAGCTGATCGCCCATCTTTTAGCTGTCATGCAGTGTTTGTCATTGACGACGGTGGTAACGCATATTAAGCCTGTGTGTCTATATGCCTGTAAATTTTCATCCAAGGATGAGAACTCTGAACTCACATGATCCTAAGCTAATGAAGTACTGTACCATTTTTTAAATATTTTTGTTTTAGGTTTTGATTGGTATAGTTTTACATCCTGTACGAAATGATGCAATCGTATTATGGTGTTCTCGTATAGTAATATTTATACTGTAATACAATCATTTTACATTTACAAAAGATAATTAAAATTGGTCACATTATCTTCAGTAATACTGTAACTAGTGGTGTTAGAGCAATGGCGTTTCAAGAAAACATTACTAAGTATTACAGGCCAAAGGAGTTATGTGTGATGTATGTGATGTTGAAAATACTGTACTGTGATATTCGTGTGTGCAGTGTTTTCCAGGCTGCCTAACGATACAGCTACGGACTACCCTGACCCTCTGTATCATTGCCCTAATATTCTCCACTGCTCAGAGCTGTGTGGTGAGAGATGCATTTTAACTCGATTAACTTTGACAGTGTTCACACAAAAATATTTTGTAACAAAAGTTAAAGTTTAACATCACAATACCTGTTCTTGCAATACCTTTTAAAGTCTGTTTTAAATTAAATACAGTATAACGTCACATATCCAGTTTGATAAAGACTGAGGTATAGGCTGATATGTGAAAATGTCAGAAGTGCGAATATCGATAGAAAATTTGAATTCCAGGCAGCACACATATAATACTGCACTGGGTGTGGGCGGTTAATTGGTCAGGGTGGATATGTGACATTATACTGTTAGGTCGTGATTATTTGGACTCCCTGCCAATTCGTATATATATTCTTTTAATATTAACACTTATTGCACGCTGATCTTCTTTGCAGGTGGCCTGCATGACGTGGTATTGGGCAGAAGTTGGAAACTCTTCCATTGCAACTGTGACGCCCACTTCCGAGTCAGGACTTGTGTCGGTGTCCACGTTGTCGGTTACGCCCCAGACCCTGCCGGCTCTGGAGGTTTCCCAGTTCAACAGCACCTTGTCCGGAGTAACCGCGACCACAGCAAGTCCCTCCGCACAGGCATACACGCCAGCGCCCAGTGACTTGGCACAGTATGGCCTGCTGGGCTGCCTCAACAGCATCCTCACACTGTCTCTCTTCCTGCGCATCTCCTCCCTGCCCAAGCTGCTGATGCTGATCTTGCTGTCTGTGGTCTACGTTCTGGTGCTAGAGTTAGGCGGATATCGTCACATTGCCGGGTAAGCTCGTAATAAAAGGGGTACCTTTTGGGCGTGTTGGTCTAGGGTCTGACCCTTTTATAGAAACAGACCTATAAAATAAAATATATGCTTTACTGCATTGACCGAAAGGTCATAGATACTCCTCGAATGATATGCCCTTATTTCTCGCACAAACCATACCCGATTGGTCATCTTATCCATTTTTCCATAATACCTCTTTGTTTTTTTCATAAACAATCCTAGTTTATAATTTTTAGTCTGACAGTCTATTGGCTTTCCAGAGCAATATTAAGCAGCATGTCTTTAAGAAAGCACACTGGGAAGTATTTTTTTAAAATTAGTAGAACAATAAAATATGTAAAATCGTTTTTCTATTTGCTTTTGGGTGAAGGCCACCCCGTGCTGTGTCGGTAATGAAGGTTGTTGGATCACACTTCACGACGTTGGTCAATGTAGTTTTTATTTGTGTGTGATATATATTTGAAGCTGGCAGGTCTGTATATATTTTTTTAATTCCATACTACAGTATGCATTACTTTGAATACATGCAATTGCATCGACAAAATGAGTAGGTGTTACTTTGTAGGCAATCATTTTAATAATCTCAGCTGATTATTAAGTGTATCATCCATCACGAGTTTGAAGCTTTGTCGAAAAATTGTAACTTTTTTTATTTAAATGTTTTGAGTATCATTGCTTTTTTGTGCAATTTATCTGAAAACGAGGAAGAAGAGGTCAAGTGATTTTTACATTGCCATTGATATTTATTTTAATCAAGCAATGACATCTTATTTGTGGTTTGTATAAATACGTGAATTTTTATAATTGTTCACATATTACACAAATACTACTCTTAATTATCCAAGTACAGTACTTTATGATTATTTCTGTGCAGACATAGATTTATATATTAATTTAATTGTAACAGTGGACTTGCTCTTGTCTGATGCTTTGTAATGTGAATGTGATATCATACTCATTTCTATGGACTGTAGAGTACAAACAACGTCGAAAATCTGATTCACTGGGGACTGAAGGGTTAGGTGGGGTATGTGAAAAGGTGGGATATGTCAAAAGGTGCATATGTGAAAAGGTTGAATATGTGAACATCTATTCACAATAACAGCTACACGATGCACAAATACCACACTAGATGTCGGTGGTTAATTGGTCATGGCGGATATGTGAATGTCCGGCTAACAACATTGTACAGTACTGTATTTCTACAGTGTATATTTATGCATGCTTCAAGAACTACAGTATAGCAGTGTTTTCCCTGTGGGAGAGGCTAAAATATGGTTTTGTATTTAATTATATTTGCAAAGACGTTCTGTTTTGAAATGCTTTATCAACAAATGCGTAAATAATTTTCAATAATCTATGGCTCTTCATGATAAGATTACTTTATAGCCCATTTGTCGTAATTGGAAAATGCTCTTGACTGTATGGTAATCAACTCATCCATATAAATCTTAATAGTGACAAATACGTCCCAAGCATTGCTCTCATGACACTGCATTTGTTATGGTGCTGCACTCTTAAAGTTATTCATCGATGACAGCCTCCTGCCCTTTATGATGCAATAAGTTCCCCATACAATTCACAGCAGTTCCTGGCATCCCATGTGCCCTTAACTTGATTAACTTCGCAAAAGATAGATTATGTAATACTTCCGCAATGAAATATAGCAATATTTCTTCCTGCCTCAGCAGTCCGTCTGCTGTATTTTTTTTACCTGAAGACGATTGCTTGTGTTGCGATCGAAACGTCGTGATTTTAAAAATTATTTAACTACATGACTTTACCAAAAGACCCAAAGAGTATACTCATGAATGTTTGAAAAAAGTAAGTGGGCTCAGGGAGGACAAATCTCGGGAATGGATGATGGCCAATTGCCAAGAATAGTAATGCATTGGCAGGAATGGGATGCGTCTGAGAGGACATCCACAGAGAAGGTGAAGTGTCAAAATAGGTTTATGTGCAGTTGCTGGGTACCATGCTGCATTGCGGAACCGTGATAGAAAAGGCTTGGGAAAGCCTTCATCAAGTCTGATGATGATGAAATATATTTTTTGCCCAATTAATTTGATTGCTTTTGTCTTAACAAGGACAAGTGCGCTGTACATGAAGGCATACGAGCCGGTGCTCACAATCTTGCTCTTCATCTGCGCCATGGGACTGCACTCTCGCCAGCTGGACCTCAAGCTCCGGCTAGACTACCTTTGGGCTTCCCAGGTATGGAGCAGCATCCTTTTATTACAAGTTTGAGCAGCGCCAGATGTTCGGTTAGTTCACGTGTGCACCTGGGTGGAGTAACAGTGCATCGGTTGCTTTTTAGGCGGAAGACGAGCGAGGCGACATGGAGAGGGTAAAAAACGACAATAAGCGCATCCTGTTCAACCTGCTGCCAGCCCACGTAGCGCAACATTTCCTGCAGTCCAACCCACGCAACATGGTATGTGCCTCCTTCTCACGTTTATTATTCTATTTCCATAACGGTGTAGGTAACAGGGGATAGCTGTTTTTTCACTTCCTGTGAAATTGTCTCGTCCCGTAGGATCTGTATTACCAATCCTATTCGCAAGTAGGTGTTCTTTTTGCTTCAATACCAAACTTCAACGACTTCTACATAGAACTGGATGGAAACAACATGGGGGTGGAGTGTTTACGGCTACTGAATGAAATCATCGCGGATTTTGATGAGGTAAGCATGCATTCTGGGCATCTTAAATTGAGTCGCTGGCATACCTATATTGCAAAACGAAATGTTTTGATTTTCAATTGCGAAGATCCTGCAGCACGCTTTTGTTTTGCTTCTCTTAGCTTCTGGATAAGGAATGCTTTAAGGACATTGAAAAAATTAAAACGATTGGGAGCACCTACATGGCAGCTGTTGGATTGGTTCCAACATCAGGGACAAAGGTACATAAAGTTCATATTGTTTGCTTACGAATTATTTCCATTCCTTCTCAGACGCATGAGACTGTTTACTACAGAAGTATAAATTACTACACCAGGTGTAAAAAAAAAAATAATACTGGCGATAAAGTGAACATACGTGTGATATTTGAACATTTAACATGTTCTTTCTTGTTATGCAGGCCAAGTGCTCCATCATCTCCCACTTGAGTTCAGTTGCTGACTTTGCAATGGAAATGTTTGATGTGGTGGATGAAATCAATTATCAGTCCTACAATGACTTTGTGCTTAGAGTTGGTAAGTGGAGTAGTTTTTCCTTTGTTTTTACTCTTGAAGTAACAGTCGTTGTACAAGATTTTAAGGCCTCTAAAACCAAATGACAGGTTTTGTCTAGATGTAAATTATGTTGCATTTTATTTATATTTTTACCAAATGTAATTCTGGGGATTTTTTTCGGATTTTGGTTCTAATATTTGTATTTATCAAATGTGGAGAGTCTTTTTTAGATTGTTTTTGCAGTTTTTTGGTTTTGAACTTTTAGAGTGGAGCAAAAATACAAATTTAATTACAATTAATGAACTTGTTAATATTTCATAATCCAAAAATAGTATGCACAAGCATTTAAAGCCAGATTTTGTAAAATTCCATCTAAAATATTTGTTTTTGCATTATTACACACAAAATCCAAACTGAGTCACTATAGTACTTGTAAACATTAAGTCTAGTATACAATAAAAGGGTAATTTTAAATATGTAGGTTGTTAGAAATAGCTAGAGAATTTTGCAAATAAGCTTATGGAAATTATAATATTAATGAAAATCAGAAGCCATGATGTATACACTGCTCAATGAAGGCCTCCCCATAATCCTGCCATCCCTCATGGTCTCATGATGCGACCAACCATCTACCTCGTACACATGACCTCATCTCATTACTCCACCTCCGTGTTGGTCATCCTCTTAGGAGTGTCCATTCCTTTACCTGCCATTTTCATCACTTTCCTCGTTCAATTACCATAATTCCTTCTAGTGATGTGTTGGCCCTTTGTCAATTAATTGCTGGATGAAGACCTGCCCATGCTGTGTCGGTCATGAGGGTTGTTTTATCATACATCACCACGTCTGTCAGTGTGAAGGGGATTGGCCCAGGATCTATTCACACATATCACTAACCACTGTCCACCCAACAATTAGGTACACCACAGTTAGTAAGGTGATGAGGTGATGTGTGGGTGCTCTCACCTCTTCCACGATGTCTGGCCAGCATTGGGAGAGTATACCAAATACGCTTTGTAGGGGTTCTTGAGGGCTCCCTCTAGTTGAGGCCCTCCCACCAAAAGTGGGGTGAGAAAGAAATTGCAAGGCTGCACCTTTACCTTTTAATTGACATGTGCAGTATATAAAACAAACTAAGTCATCAATGTGAGTTTAAAATGTCTATTGTGCAAAATGTTTTGACTTCTGCTTGCTTCAGTATGTTAAAGGTAACTTTCTTGTGCGTCAGGAATCAGTGTTGGGCCCGTTGTGGCTGGGGTGATTGGTGCTCGCAGGCCGCAGTACGACATCTGGGGGAACACCGTCAATGTGGCGAGTCGCATGGACAGCACAGGCCTACCAGGAAAAATACAGGTGTGCCTTCTGTTTCTTTACGAGTACTAAATATATTCCATAAGGGGTGGTGACATGGGCTTGCGATAGTCCGTTTGCCGCTTGTTGCAGAGGTTTATGATTCGAATACAGCGGCAGCCTAGATTATTACTTCGGGTGTAATAACCATAATACTATGCTCCGTCTGCTTGACATTGGACGTTAAAGATGATCTGATATCATTCGCAAGAGAAGGCAATCGTGTCCCGCCATCAGGGTCCAAATACATGAAATAAAACAAATTACCTACAAATTACTCAATTGGGACTATACATAATAATCATTGCCCATTACTGGCAGACTAATGCCCATTTGCAGGCCAGGTGTTGAGTCACCTTGTACGCACAGGGATGGCTGCCACTGGGGGTGCCCTTGCAAATGTGTTGAGATGAGATGTCATGCGCTCTGAGACGCCGTGGTGTGTAAGACGCTATGGCAAAAACTAATCATTTTCATTATGATTATCATAGGCTAAACAATGAACTTAAAATTCATCTTAGTTTGTAATGTAATTTTGAATGAGAGAAAAATCACATTCTAATACATGAATATAGGTTTTTTCCGGATTAAGATGCTCCAGAGTAGTAAGGTGGACCCTGAACTTGTGCCCGTTGTCAATAATCTTATACAATTCTAGTCAAACTAAAATCTACCAAGTTATTTGATGCATCCGCAACTTTTGCATTAAATTAGAAGAAAACGTCCATTTCTGTAAATAACAGAATATGGTACTCATGATAAGTATGTCCGACCAAAACTACAGTATACCAGATGATTTAAGGCATAAACTTTGCTTATTTTATATTTATATATTTTTAAAGTTTAATTCTTATATTTTCTTAGTCACTGCCTGAACCGCATGGTGCAAGCTGCGAAATGTAAAAAAAATACTTTGACTCATGCAATTTGTGTACAATCATTGCATTTGATAACAGGTGAGTGAGGATGTGTACAAGATCCTAAAGCAGAGCAACTACGAGTTCACCTGCCGTGGAAAAGTCACCGTGAAGGGCAAAGGGGAGATGCTCACATACTTTCTGGAGGGCAAGCAGGGCCTGGAGAGCTGCCCGGCTGAGGGAAGGCTCGCCCGTGCCTCGTTTCAGGAACGCAGGATGTATCCAATCAGCAGAGTGGCTCTCAAATATGTTGCGGGCTGGGACTCTGGAACCTCTTCAGACGTTGTAGTCGGCGGCGACAGATTCTCACTGAGGGCGATCGCCAACGCAACGGTCCCCAGTTTCTCTGCTGTGCCTGCCGTGGCCGAGATGTCCGTCTGACTGGTCCATTTGGAACTTGTACGCGTGTTGCTGATGGGGGTTGTAAAAGCTAGAAAACAACTGCACCACTTTTAGCCTCCTCATTGACACTGCCAAATAATCGTTACATTTAAAGTATTATCGAGGCAGTATGTGTGTCTGAAGGGTTCACCACGTGTAAAACTAATGTCTGCTGCGTTATCTGTAGACCATATGCTTGTAACTGCGACCTGACCATACAATTGCCACGTTAAATGTCCACACTCTTGACAACTGTGAAAGCTTCAGCTGGAGAGCAGATCTCGTCACAGCGCCCATTAGCCATTCTACAACCAACCTCTGGGTAGTAAAAGTCCTGTCTGCTCTGACATATAATCATAGTTCATGTCAAAGGAAACGTTCTATCCATTTAACTTTCAAGCTCAGTTCATTGGTGTTGCTTCCCTGGACACTACCAACTCACATGTTGCAACCAAAGCAACTGTCATCATACAAATGTCATTCTGTACATTATTGCACACTGTACAGTATTATGGCTGTAATATTCAACCTTCAAATGACCAAAATACTGTCATGTTTTTTTTTGTTAACTCCTTTTGGTAGCTTGTGTTAACACTTGTCACTGGTATCAATCATTGTCACTCACACTTGCCATATATTTGCCTCCAATTATTGTCCCTATTTGACTGCCTTTCAGTTAAAAAAAATATACTGCCAAATGTTTTTATGATAAACTAAAGTGCTTCAACACTGATATGCCTCTTGTAGTATTGCAGACATTTTCAGTGACGTATGTAGGAATTTTTCTAATGCTAAAAACTTTTGAAAGACCAAAAAAGACAGAGACTGTAGTAGGAAATATAATCGAGTGTTAACATAAATTTCAGTAGGGCAAAATTATTAGCATTACAAAAGTAAGTTTGTTTCACTATGATTCCAAGTAAATGCTGGTTCTTTGAGGGGAATTTGCCATCTTTTAACATTTTAAAATCAATTTTCCAGTGTGCCACATTACTATTTAGTCATTTGTTGCTTTTTAACACAAATTAAACATGGAATGCTTTCCACACTATATAAATCTTCTGATTTATCTAATTATGTTTTTGGGCTTGTTTTGTTGGTGTGTTTGAAGCATCAGGGATTGTGTTGAATGCAAACATTTATTTTAACTTTTTTTTTATCTGATCTTGTGATAAGCAGTCTTATTTTGTGGGTAAAGTTTCACAGTGTTTACTATTTGTGGCACATCATAGAGTAAAACTAACTTCTTTGGTTTACTATACAAACAAGTTAATACCTAACCTCATAGTGACAGGCATGACGCATGCATTAACTGTATATTAAACGTGTACGTTTTGCACAAACGTGTTCAACGGCATGGCTTATAGCATGGCATCACCTCTGCACAGTGTATCGTAACATTTTTTTCATGCATGTTGGAGCATGCTGCATTTTTGTCAAAAATGAGCAGTGTGTGTCTCCAGTTTATTATCTGGAGTATTCACTTTATAATGTATTGTATATTCTGTAAGTGGATGTAATAGAAATTTGATACAGCAATATTTTATGAATTGTTAAATTTAAAAATAAGAAAAGAAAACTGAAAAAAAGTATTTTGTGATTTGAAATTTTTGAGTGGCCAGATTTTTTTACGAAAATCGTTCTAAAAAAAATGAACTGTCAACATTACAAATACAGGTGAATTTGTTTCCATTTTATTTGCTGAAAGAAGCACAAGTGAAAATGGTTTAGATGTAGTAAACCCGTTGTCTGTCCCTCTAGTGATGTGTCAGCCCTGGGTGGATGTTGACTTGTTTAATGCGAATACATGCCTGAGCATGGTACTGAAATTAAAGATCCATTTTTATGTTGCTATTCTTCTTGTTCTGTAAATTTTCTTGTCTTTTCACAAATCCACTGCATACAGTTAAAACAACTAAAGTAAGATACGTATTTTTACAACATTACATACTGTAACAAACTTGATTTGAAGCTTTCGTGACTGCAGGAATTGCTCTTTGGTTCTTTCGGTAAAGTCACGTAGAAATAAATAAATTAAATAATAGAATACGACGTTTCGATTGCAACACAAGCAACCGTCATCAGAACGAAATTTGAGCGAGACAAAACACAGACACGGAGACAGACACAAGCAGAGAGAGACACAGAGACACAACATAGACACACAGAGACCCAATGCCTCTGTGTCGAGGCCTTCAAAAGAGAGAGGGGGGGGGCAGAGAGAGAGAGGTGGGTCTGCTGGAGCAGAGAAATTAGCATGTCAATGAAAGACTGGTACATTTTAGAGTTTTGTTTTCTCAAACTGCCTATTTCTCTCTCTAAAATTTACCAGGCTCTCATAGGTCCATTCGCTCTTTCTCTCCCTCGATCGCTTTGGGGTGGATTTCGACACAACTCTCTCTAAAATGTACCAGTCTTGTTGGGTCTTTCAGTGACATGCTGATTACTATACTCTTTGGTTCTTTTGGTAAAGTCACGTAGTTAGAAATAAAATAAATCACGACGTTTCGATCGCAACACAAGCGACCTTCGTCAGGTGGCACCGATACACCAGGACAACCGCTGACAGGAGAAAGAGCTGCTGACAACAAGAGTTTATTAAGGGTTGTGGTGGGCCCAACCCAAGGGTAAGTGGGCGGAGCTAGAGAAGGAAGCAAGGGGGGGAGGGTGAGAGAGGGGGTGGGCGCAGGTGATCGGTGTAAGGCAGAGAGAAGCTGTGCCTGTTGAAGGCAGAGAAGCTGTGCCTGTGGAAGGCAGAGAAGCTGTGCCTGTGGAAGGCAGAGAAGCTGTGCCTGTGGAAGGCAGAGAAGCTGTGCCTGTGGGGCCAATGTGAGAAATTAGCATGTAAATGTATCGGTGCCACCTGATGAAGGTCGCTTGTGTTGCGATCGAAATGTCGTGATTTGTTTTATTTTATTTCTAACTACGCGACTTTACCGAAAGAACCAAAGAGTATGGATTCCTGCAGTCATGAAAGCTTCAAATCACACTAATTGCTCTGCTCCAGCAGCTGCTCCAGCAGACCCACCTCCCTCTCTGCTCCCCCTCTCTCTTTTGAAGGCCTCAACACAGAGGCATTGGGTCTCTGTGTGTCTATGTTGTGTCTCTCTCTGTGTGTCTCTGTGTTGTCTCTCTCTGCTTGTGTGTCTATCTGCGTGTCTCCGTGTCTGTGTTTGTCTCTCTCTCAAATTTAGTTCTACCTGATGACGGTTGCATGTGTTGCAATTGAAACGTCGTATTCTATTATTTAAGTTATTTTCTTTCTACGTGACTTTACCGAAAGAATCAAAGAGCAATTACATACTGTAGTTTTTGTATGTAATGGATTTACTAAAAAGTATGTACATTTCACACGCAAAAAAATGGAAGACCAAAAAGTTATGCTTGTTCTTTCCTGCTTGTACTTTAAACTGCACTGAATTACTTTTAAAATAATATTTTGCAGCCCTTTCTCAATCCACTGATAACGTTTTGCATGGGGTTATTGCATCTTTATCACAAGTGGAGATTTTAGAGGATTTAATTACTTATCTGTGTAGTCAAATGTGATGGTGACTTAAGACAAAGAGAACCACAGTGCACTTCTTAAGGAACTGCTGGTGGTTTTTGTATATGCACAGAGGCTGTGTGCTTCTTCATATTGTGTTATTTGAAACTCCAGTATGTCGGAAGTACCGGTTATGATGGGCCTCAAACTAACTTTGGAAGAGTTGAGAGGTCCAATTTTATTGCTCAGAGATGGATTTTTGAGTAGTAATATCTGTGTTACTTATGTCCCAGATATCTGTCATTTAACAAAACCACAATATAATTTGCTCTTCACCTTTGAATCAAGGCATATGTGGAAGATGCTAAGAATTTCATGGGATAACAATAAGCAACTTGGATATTAAAAATATAATTTGGCAAGAAATAATTGTAATCCTGTACATTGGGATGGGTTTAGAAATTGTGTCGGATGGAAAAGGTCAGGTTATCAAGGTCAGGTTATCAAGACAGGCAGATGAATGATGCATATATATTTCCAACTATGGGGATAACCTGAAGCAAGATGGACCTGTAGTCGCATCAGCTATTGCTATATATTCATTTTCCAAGAGTAGCATATCACAATATTCTTTTTTTTGCAGCCAAGGTGTCCACTGATAACGTTACCATATATTAATATATTAATATCAGACTTCAACCAATATTTTCGTTTAATGCATCTAGTTTCTTAAGCATCATGATCAATATACTAATATCAGAAGGGACGTCATGCAAGGATATATGCTCTCACCAAAGTTATTCACAGCAATATTAAATTCATTTTTAGAAATAGCGGACTGGAGATTTAAAGGCATACACATAAATGGAAAATATATTTACCATTTCAGACATACTGATGCCGTAATAATAACCATTTGCAATAAATTGCAGGAAATTATTGATTTTAGGATTCAAGGTAAAATGCCTAAAACTAGTCATGTAAAATTATTTCTCTAAGCAAATTAAAATACAGTATTGGTTGGAGGGGCACAACTATGAAACACGTTACAATATATACTTATGGCAAGTATTGATGGCTGGCCAGGATTATTATGATAAAAATAAGAGTTGAACGAGAGCAGGTTACAATGTTTTTGGTAAACCGATAATGAGATTGATAATGAAATTCAACGTATAAATTTGCTTAAAGAAGAGAGAACGTTGTATAAAGTACAGGTAATACATATTACATGCTCTGCTTTATGGATCAGAAACACGGTTGCTGATTTTAAAAAAATACATGGAACAATAGCTGAAAAGTGCACGGAGAGCGATGGACAGCTGCATGATTAGAATTAGACTAAGAGATAACTGGGAACACATGGATCAACGAACAATTAAAATGAATTAGTGACGTGTTGACTGTTGAAAAGTAAGTTGGTGGGCTTGATCAGGATACTTGGCGAAAAGAGATGATGGTTGAAACTTATTATGGAATGGCAGCCATAGAAGAGAACACTCAAGACCAGGCGAAGTCTGTGACCATGAATCGATGTCATCAGGTCATGTGCATTTATGTGCTATGAAGAAGGGCCATTGCCCAAAGTGTAACCTTTTAAAGTATATATATGTTATTTTAAGGCAATGTTATTGACGAATGTATTGGAGTTTTTTTTGTCAAATGTATAGGAACTACTATGATGATGAGGGATGGCTTTGACTTGGAAAGGTCTTCATCTAGCTGTGGATAGATCATGGCTGATGATGAAAACGTATGGAGAAAAACACTGAAAAATATGCAAACATTTCACGTATATTGGATCTTTATTATGTTTGCATTATTTTGACATTATATGGCTTACTAAAAATACATAAAGTAGATACACCCCTTCGTCCCATCGTCTCTACTATCAACTCTCCCACCTACAAACTGGCTCGTTTTTTGTCTGAAATCCTGCGTCCTTTCACTGGAAAAAACACCTCTGCGGTACAAAATTCTACTCACCTGGTATCGACAATCAAGGGTATTTCCCTGTCCCCAGACGACCTGCTTGTTAGTTTTGATGTAGTTTCCTTATTCACCAAAGTTCCTGTACCTGACACCATCGCAATCATTGAAGACTTGGTTCATCAAGGACTAAACACTGAGGTACCCCCCCTGGTGAGACACTGCTTAACCAATACATACTTCACTTGGAATGGAACTTTCTACAAACAAACTGAGGGCACCCCAATTGGCTCCCCCCTATCTCCGGTTATAGCTAACATTTTAATGGAGAAATTTGAGACTGACGCCATCCAGACTGCCACTCTGCGCCCAACCTTATGGAAGAGGTACGTGGATGACACTTTTGTCATCTGGCCACATGGCCGGCCTGCTCTAGACCAATTCTTCGACCACATCAATTCCATACACCCAGCCAGCAGATTTACCATGGAAGTCGAAAAAGATGGCAAGCTACCTTTTTTGGATGTCCTAATAAAAAAGAGACCTGATGGTTCAATGAGCCACTTTGTCTACAGGAAAGCTACCAATACGGATGCTTATCTCAAACCGGATTCCCACCACCATCCATCACAGAAAAATTATCTCATCAAGACTCTGTACCATAGAGCCCAATGCATATCCGACCAGGAACACATAGGCAGTGAACTCAAGCACGTACACCAAGCTCTTAAGGCTAATGGTTACTCCGACTATACAATCCGCAAAGCTATCACTCAAACCATGAAGAAGGACCCTCTTGAGGAGCCTTTCAAAACCATCACTTTACCCTACATTGCGGGGATCACAAAAAAGATCTCCAAAATCTTGAATAAACACAAGATCCAGGTCCGTTTCAACACATTACATAAAATCCGTGATCTGGTTCCGTCTGTGAAAGATGTGATTCCGGACATACAGTACCCTGGTGTCTACAAACTAAGTTGCCTCTGTGGTAGTAGTTACATTGGAGAAACCAAACGACATGTCTCGGACCGCATTCGTGAACACAAAGCAGACCTTAAACACTATAGGACCAACACCTCGGCCGTGGCAGATCACTGTTATAATTCAGTAGGCTCACATGCAAGCCATCGGGCTACCATGAGAGATTCGTTCATGAGGCTATCCACATATACAAACACAGACAATTTCAACCGAGAAGATGGATTCTGGCTTAGCAATCATTGGAAGGATTTGATAAACCATTCCGGGTCTTAATTGATAGCATACATTATTTTTTTCGTCTCCCCTATCCTCTTTTCCGAACATAGATGGACTCGTCCTTATAACAAACTGCCAAATCGCTGTCCGTGGTGCTAACGTTTATAAATAAATAAATACAAACCGCCACTTCTTTCAAATGTTTCTTGCCGTTGGTTTTCACACCTGATGATGACTG